TATATTAATATTATATAGTTAATTTTATTTAAATTGTGAGATTACATACTTTATTATTGAAATTAAATCATTTAAAATATCTAACAAGAAAAAAAATTGAATTAATTGTACAAAAATTTGTAATTAATTAGATAAATTATTTAATCAAACAAGACTTCTCTTCTAAATAATTTATGTCAATTATATTTATTAATGTAAGAAATTATGTTCTTTAAATAATTTCTTTTATAAATATAATATATTTTTATTTTAAAGTTGATGTTTTACAATACGATCATGATATTTTAAGTGTTTAAGTCAATTGTAACTTTTCTTTAAAAATTTAATGTTAAAATTCAATTAGTAGATTGAAATGTAATATTAATATTATAATAAAATATATCATTCATAATATATTAGAAATTAAAATAAATTAAATTTTTTTTGTATATCTATACTAATATATAAAGGGGATACCCTTTTCAGTAACTACCTTGGTCTCCACTTTTTTTTACCATTATACCCTTTTATTTTAAAAATATATACTAATATATAAAGGGGATACCCTTTTTAGTAACTACCTTGATCTCCACTTTTTTTGACTATTATTTCCTTTTATTTTAAAAAAATTATAAAAAATATTTTTTAATCAAATTTAAGAACTTGAAACTAATAGATTAATCATAATACCAATTAAATCAATATACTTTTATTATTTAATTTTTATTTTTATTTTATTTTTAATAGAGGCACGAAGTGCCTCGATTCCACTAAATGGCTGGAATTATTTGTACTAGATTGACTGAAATTATCATCCTCAAAATATTTTTATACACAAATTTTAGGTAGAACCATGCCAGCCTCTAACACCCTGCCCTAAAATATATATAAAAATTACTGAATTTCATAATAAATCAGTAAAAAATCATATAACAATAATTTTTTATTGAATGACAATTACTTTACATTATTTGTACATGATCATTAAATTCTCAAAGAGTTCTAATTAAAAAATATATAGTATATTTCATTAAATATTTTAATTATTTAGATATTTAAATATTTTGTAATTTTTAACATGATATAATATTCTTCGAAAGAAGTTTCATGATATTCTTTTCTAACCAATTTTTAATTTCTAATTCCAGTCAACAAATAATCTTCGAATCCTCCCTTTTTAGACCACACGCACAGAAAGACCCGTCAATTAACTTAAGATTAGCTAATGGACCCATCAAGTTAATTGCTTGCCTCAATTATTTATATAAAAGTAAATATTAAATAATAAATTAAATAGAAACTTCCCTGAATGAATAATGTGAGGGCCACAAACCGCGAATGAATTGAATAAATTAGGGTTTCTCTCCCGCTCTTCTCATTTCTCGTCACTCTTTCTCCTGCTCGTCCCCGACCCATCGCTCGAAACTGCGCAATTAGAGAGACTCTCGACCCATCGCTCGACACCGCGCAATTAGAGAGACTCTCTGTAAGAATCCAATCCGACCTGCCTTTCCTTTTTTTTTTTTTTCTATTTGCAGTCCTCCATTTATCTTTTAATCTATTTACAGTATGAAGTTATCAATGATATGAAGTTAACTCTTTATGAGAAATTGCAAACAAATGCACCGATGCAACTTTAATTGTGATCCCAGAAAATCCAAAAACCTTGATGTTGCATCAAAAATCGCATTTGTGGACCAGTTTTTAAAACCTTGGTTGCAAGCACACCAGTAGAGAACATATATCAAGTTTTGGTAACTAACTCACTTTTGTGTGGTTTTTGGTCATTGTGCAATTTTTTCTGCTGTGTCAAGTTTGGAGCTTTCCATGTCTAAAGAGCAGCACAGATGTAAGTTTGTTTCTAAACACAAACAATTAGTTTTGTTCTCAAATTCATTTCTCTTGTTTTTTCTTCCCCATAAACATTTAAGAGAGTTGTTATGGTGTACCCACATAAATCTAACACTTTTGATACAATTATTTTTGGGGCCAAATGAGAAATTAACATTAATATATATGATTATGTTCTCGTACCCCTTTTTATTATTCAGTTATTAAATACTATTAATAAAATGGTGTATTTTTTTGAGCAGGGTAAAGTGCCTTTGATATCTCAGTCAGGGGTGCATCACTTACATATATTTATATTCGTGCTAGTTGTTTTTCACATTTTCTACAACGTCATGACTATGGTGCTAGCCCGAGCAAAAGTAAGTTTATTTTTCCAAATAACCCACGTCAAAACCACTTATAAACTAAAGGATGAAATCATATTACAAATTATTAATATCACTTGTGTTTGTTTCTTGATATGCATGAATATGAATTAATATATATACGAATTAATACGATTCATGGGTGATGCTAAACGATCTATAAAGAATAATGATGCTAAACGATCTATAAAGAATAATGCTAGGGTTGAAGGCTCAATTTGTTATTCTTACTTGCACCGTGAAATAACTCATTTTTGCTCTCATTATTTCAACAACTTCATGTTGTCACCACGAAATTCTAGAAATGAAATGGAAGTCGAAAGTCAAGGGTGCTCGTATATGTTATCAGTCTTTAACCAACCTGGTCTTCATTCTGGGAAATAGTTGACTCATTGGTTAATCGATGCAGAGCTAAACTTAGTTCATGTTCACGTGTTGATCAATTGTATTGAAGTTAAACCATACCTTGAGTAAGTAATTTACAAAATTTTCAATATTTATTATATAAGGACTTGAATATCCGTATCATTTACAATTTGAGTGATATAATTGGATAGTTCATTCATACAATCCCAACAAATAAGTGAATCAAATGCTTATACTCGTATACATGCAGAATTTCCTACATGGTTCAAGAATCAAGTATGTATATATCTAAACACTTATTTTAGTTTTTCTTTACCAAAATTCATAACCCTAAACCTTTCATGAACCTTACCTTTGTAGGTTAACAATGAGCCTTTATATGTGAGAAATCAACACTTACAAGATTTATCATATGGTCCTCTGACTTGTGTTAAAGAATGGCACACGTTCTTTGTCAATAGGTATAAATTTCACACCCATGCATGGAGTGAGGGTAACAAAACAATAAATTGTGGTGTTTATGTTAAAGGGATTATAGAAGGAGAAGAAGATGATTTCTATGGAGTTATTAAACACATGTATGAGATAGAGCACAACACCTCAATATATCCTAAAAAAGTTGTGGTATTTTACTGTGATTGGTTTGATCCATCGAGTAGAGATACAAGAATTGATCCCAAATATAATATTGTCGATATTAAAATGGATAGAAGATATCAACTATTTGATCTGTTTATCATTGCACACAATGTAAGACAAGTGTATTGTGCCCTGTATCCACTACTAGAAAGTTACTGTTCTACATCGCCAATTCTACATCGGTTTAGGTAGAACCAATGTAAAAATTGGATACGATGGCATATTCGTAAATATGAGTTGAATGTAAAGCAAATTTACATCGGTTATGAACAAAACCGATGTAGATCTAAATGTGCGGTGGCAATTTTGTAAATATTTACAAATAGATCTACATCGGTTTTCAAAATAACCGATGTAGTATTACCTCGCGTGGAAGCCCTTTAGCTTCTTCACACATTCTCTATCTCTGTGTGCTAGGGTTTCCTCCTCGCCAAATCCCCCCAAGATCTCTTCCGAAGATCGGAAG